CCACGTGAAGTGTCGAACGCCCGCTGGCAGGAGGTCACGGGGCAGACCCAGCAGGTGCCACGGGTCGACTGACTGAGATGATCGAGATGACTGGCTGATGCACCACCTGTTCCCCCCACTGTGCCAACTTGCTGTGCTTTAGTCACCCGGCGCTCCGCTCGTTGTTGTGAGCGTCGCTCCTCCGCCCTCCGTTGTTGTTGGAGGGCGACTGCCTCCAAATGCCCAGTAGCCTCAAGATGCACCTAGCCTGGCACTGCCCAGTAGCAGCGTCCTTCACGAACCTCCTCTACTGAGGCCGATCTTGACACCGCTGGTACCAGTCATCGGCAAGTCCACTCAGCTCCACGTCCTCCTATACCACATTACTCCATCTCTTCTCTAGCCCGTGCCGCGCCCGTTTAGCCCCCTCGATCCGGCCACACGCACACACCACCGACACAAACACACCCCCCACACACACACACCACCTACACAAACACACACACACACCACCTACACAAACACACACACCACCTACACAAACACACACACCATACTACACACACACCACACACACGCACCACACACACACCACACACTCCACACACCACACACACCGTCCACACACACCACACGCACACACCACCCACACAAACACACACACCACACCACACACACCCCACACCACACAGACACCACACACACACACACCATCCACTCACACACCACACACACACACCACACACACACACCACACACACACCCCACCTACACAAACACACCACACACCACCTACACAAACACACCACACCACACACACACCACCCCACCCAGACACCACACACACACACACACGGGTCCCCTTTCCTTACCGTGTTTGTTTATTACTAAAGCACGCTCTTCCAGTCCTGAGCGCAAATTGCATCCGTGTGCGGATGCCACACGGGGTGTCTGTAGATTGTGAGAGTTGTGGGTTTGCTCTCCAGCACACCGGTTAGTGCTGTACCAGCGACGACTTGGCACGTTCTGTTTACGTGAAAAAACAGACTAATTGGCTGTGTCGGGTGGTGGCAGGTTTAACGACACATTTATATTTACGAGATTTAACCCCAACAGACTACGTGTGGTGTCTTCGTGTGTGTGTGTGTAGTGTGTGTATGTGTGGTGTGTGTATGTGTGGTGCGTGTATGTGTTATGGCGTGTGTATGTGTGGTGTGTGTGGCGTGTGTGTGTGGTGTGTGAGTGGCGTGTGTGTGGTGTGTGTGTGGTGTGTGTGGTATGGTGTGTGTTTGTGTAGGTGGTGTGTGTGTGGGTGGTGTGTGGTGTGTGTGTGGTGTGTCTGTGTGTGAGTGGTGTGTGTGTGGTGTGTGGTGTGTGGTGTGTGAGTGGTGTGTGAGTGGTGTGTGTGTGGTGTGTGTGTGTGGTGTGTGAGTGGGGTGTGTGTGGTGTGTGTGTGTGGTGTGTGTGGTGTGTGGTGCGTGTGGTGTGTGTCTGTGTGGTGTGTGAGTGGTGTGTGGTGAGTGGTGTGTGTGTGGTGTGTGTGGTGTGTGTGTGTGTCTGTGTGTGAGTGGTGTGTGTGAGTGGTGTGTGAGTGGTGTGTGTGTATGTGTGTGAGTGGTGTGTGAGTGGTGTGTGTGTGGTGTGTCTGTGAGTGGTGTGTGTGAGTGGTGTGTGTGAGTGGTGTGTGCCTGTGTGGTGTGTGAGTGGTGAGTGGTGTGTGTGTGGTGTGTGTGTGTGTCTGTGTGTGAGTGGTGTGTGTGAGTGGTGTGTGAGTGGTGTGTGTGTATGTGTGTGAGTGGTGTGTGAGTGGTGTGTGTGTGGTGTGTCTGTGTGTGAGTGGTGTGTGAGTGGTGTGTGTGAGTGGTGTGTGCTGGTAGGGAGCTGTGGCGCAGTGGTTAGCACGCTGCGCTACGAACCCGACGTTCCGAGTTTGATTCCCGCTCACGGCCACCAACACCGCTGGAGATTATGCGAACCGGTCCTGGGGCTCTCAATAGGTCGACTCAGCCTAAAATGAGTACCTGATACGAAGTATGGTTATGGTTCCTTTAAAACCGGTTAAACCGAAATCTGTCTCTAAAAGTGTCGGATCTGGTCAACCGTCTGCAAAATTTCAGTTTAAAACCGGTTCACATTTCCATCTTTTTTTAGCAAAATTGACAAAACAAAAGATAACGGAGAGAAAAAATAATGATGAAGACCGCTTGTGTTGCGATCGAAACGTCGTGACATCGTTATTTTTTTTATTATTGTTCTATCCACGTGGCTTTACCGAAAGACCAAAAGAATATTTTCTATTCATTTTTATTTTCCATCTCCGTGACTTTACCGAAAGAACCAAGAATACGAATTTTCCTGCAGGTCACGAAGGTCTTAAGTCAAAAGTATCACGGATGGCAGTAGATCAGAAGGGAGACTTCGAGATGGTGCGTAGTTTTACTGCTTGTGGCGAACACTCCGTGCGTGCGTTCCATCACCCCACACACCCCCACCACTTTCACTCGTGAACGGCGATCTCAGTAATCCACGCTGTGTGGTGTGTCTGTCGCCGCTGCTTTGCCGGTTTTCAGTTTTCAATTTCATTTATTTGGTACTAGCTGTACTACCGGGACTTGGATCCACCACGCCCGGCCGCCTCCTTTGTCTCCCCAGTGGCGATGTTGACACACACAGCACTTACTCGTTTGAGGCTGAGTCGACCTAGGGGAGGCCCAGGACCGGTTGTAATAATCGTCACCGGTGTTGGCCGTGAGCGGGAATCGAACTCGGGTCGCCGGGTTCGTAGCGCGGCGTAGCGCTAACCACTACACTACAATGCCACTATTCCAAAGTCCGGCAGGGGAATCTATCCGTAGGACGACCGCTGATCATTCACACAAAGTTGTACCTATTTTATCAACCCCCGGAGGGAAGGATGATGGGCTGAGTCAACCCCCTCCACCTCCCCCGGCACAACCTAATCAGGATTTGAACTTACAATCTTCCTATTGCTACCAGTCGCTCGCTCCACCACCACCGGGCCGGATTAAATCCAAACTAATTAATAGCTTTAATCTGTTTATCGACTGCATTGAGCGGGGTCTGGCATAATGGAGGGAGCGGGCGGGGGGGAGCTGTTGCGCTGATTGAGTGTTTATGTTGAGACGAGTCCAGCGGAAAGTCCAGAGTTTTCCGAACCGAATCACGGGGGATTCATCCGTTCACCGGATCCCCCCCGCAATAGTCGTCAACAACATAAGCCGATGTCGTTGCAGATGTGAATGTAGCTTCGCTTTGCTATGAATGGAATTGTTTGTTTTTGTTGTCACTGGAAATGTATTCTAGTGAGTATCGATCACATCTGCGACACTGCATTCTTTCACGCGGTTGTTTTTATGCCGATTTCTGTTTATCCCTCTAAAATTCTGACGGAACCCCCATAGTCACCCATAGTCACCAGAGACCCACAGGTTCACACAGAGATCCATACTCGCGTAGAAATAAAACCCCGATAGATTCAAAGAGACCCGTAGATTCACAGGGAGGCATTCTTCCAGACACGACGGACACACCGATTGTTTAATTGCCAGAGCTGAAATATATTGCCCTGAGCTGGCAATATATTACCAAGAGCTGGGATATATTGCCAAGAGCTGAGATATCTTGCCAAGAGCTGGGATATATTGCCAAGACCTGGAACATATTGCCAAGAGCTGGAATATATTGCCAAGAGCTGGAATATATTGCCAAGAGCTGGCAATATATTGCCATGAGCTGGAATATCTTGCCATGAGATGAAATATATTGCCAAGAGCTGGGTTATCTTGCCATGAGCTGGGACATCTTGCCATGAGCTGGAATATCTTGCCATGAGCTGGAATATCTTGCCATGTGCTGGAATATCTTGCCATGAGCTGGAATATATTGCCAAGAGCTGGGATATCTTGCCATGAGCTGGGACATCTTGCCATGAGCTGGAATATCTTGCCATGAGCTGGAATATATTGCCAAGAGCTGGGATATATTGGCAAGAGCTGCGATATATTGGCCTGAGCTGGAATATCTTGCCAAGAGCTGGAATATATTGCCAAGAGTTGGGACATCTTGCCAAGAGCTGGCAATATATTGTCAGAGCTGCACGAAGTGCAGAACCGAATGTTAATGTGACCAGGGTTTGTTGTTGTTATTCTAGTCATTGTTGACTGTAGAAGTAGAAAAACAATCACAACTCGGTCCACGTGTGCGAGTCTCTACGCATGACGATGGGTCTCTGTGCAAGTCTACGGTGAGCGGGCCGAGAGCAACAGTTCACGACTCTTCCAAACCCAGTTGAATCACGAGCATCTGAAACCAGGGTTTAAACCCAGGCTCTCAGCGGTGCCGGCTCCACGTCTCTAACCCCCTGAGCCACCGGCCTTCCATCGCAGCTGCCGAGTATCCCAGTGTAGGACAGAGCTTGGGCAATTGTCTGCGGCTTCTTGCCCCTCCGAGTCGCCCTCGGAGAGGGGGCGAGCGAAAATCGCGCGCCTCTGTAAAACCTACATGTATGCAATTTTCATGCTTGCGTGTAAGCCGTCAATGAACGTGCAAACACGTGGGACAAAAACAAGTACTGAAAAAAACTTGAACCTGTGATTAACGACTGCACCGCATCATCCTCAAATTACATTTGGTTCTGCGCTTATCTCCATCACGGCCGAGAATCAGAACATTGCCTCGACCGTCACGTGACCCAACGTCGCCTCTCACGTCGCAGAGCGAGTGGAAAGCGCTGCCCTCTTCGCTGTGCGTGTGTGGCTCAGAGAGGTCACTCGTTGAAGGGACCTCAGAGGTCGCTTTGCGATATCCGCTTGTGGTTCTGTGGGGGGGGGGGGGGGGGGGGGGGGGGGGGTTGGCGATCTCCAACGGGGCAGGGGTGGCGCTGCTCTGTGAGAAATCCGAACGGATTCCTCGCCCCCCCTCACGAGGATGCAGACCGGTGCCAAACGGAGACAAACGGAGACAAACGGAGACAAACAAACGGAGAAGCTCCAACAACAAAAACGTGTTCCGATTAAAGTACGAACGGGCCGTTTTAATGAAATGGCAGAAGCCTAAAAACGTTTAAACTGCAGCAAGTATCCGGAACAGCAAATATAAACGGGCAAGTGTCCCAAGCATGAACGTAAAACAACAAAAGCCACTTCCAAAACGAGCCAAGCTTTAGTGTGTAGCTATTTCACTATGTACATCACGTGTGTCAACGGGGAGTGGTGGACGATCAGCGGCGCAGCGGACGCAAGTTTCATTCACGACCGTGGCCAACATCAGCGGAAGATGATATCGGTCCTGGGCCTCCCCTAGATCGACTCGGCCTTAAAACGAGTTAACTGGTGCGTGGCCAGGCGTGCAGATCGTCACGCCAGCCCCACCCCCCCCCCCCATTTGGTGCACCCGTACCACCCTGGACAGACGCTTGCCAACAGCACAGCCAGTTAACGGCTATGGGGGGGGGGGGGCGGGCGGGTCGCTGCACAGCGCCCCACAAGGCCGGTGACACAGGTTCAATTCCGGACCATGGCCGTCAACGTTACGCCGATTAGCATCCGAACCTGGCATGGATCACACCCGCGCTTCCCCCCCCCCCCGCCCACCCCACCAAGGTCAACCCGACCTCAAACGCGTACTGGAAATGGTGCGCTGGTGGAAGTCGGCACGGGCTCAGCCGTCGCCGGCGCAAGCAACGAGCGTTCGCTTTCAAATGTGTCGAGACGACGGGACGCAGGTCGCTTGCCGCAGCGTGAAGAGGCTGCAAGGCGCCCCCCGCGGGCGCTGAAGGAGGTGGCTATGGAACGCAAATTGACTTTAATCTTGATTTGTCTTTCACCCGAAGACGATCGCTTGTTGTCGCGATCGAAACGTCGTGATCGGTTCTTTTTATTTTCTACCTACGTGACTTTACCGAAAGAGCCAAAGAGTACAAATGTACTTTTGGCCATTCTTATCATTCTTATCATTGTTATCATTCGTATCATTGTTATCGCCTGCTTAGCCACCACGTGTCCCGAGGGCCCCAAGGCAATGGCCAATGTGGATTCTCCCAGCGCCATTTGTACTCCGATGCGCTGAGCGCCTCTCTCTCCGTTTGTCCTGGCGCGACTCTAAACGCGCCGCCATCTACACGCTCTCTCACCCCCCTCCCCCATCCTCCTCTCAATTGGGATGAATCTCCTCGTGTTTGTGTCCAATATCAAGACCGTGGGATTCAGCCGATGCGCGATTCATTGGTGCCGCTGCTCTCGACGCGAGATGCGTGAAGAGACTCGGTGTGTCGGGTGTCCGAGAGAACTGCCGTTGGGGCTTCAGCGTACGGCGAAGACTTCGGGGGCGAGCGTTCGGGGCGCCGCGTGAGAGCGCACCGTGTCTAAGCTTAAGTGTACCGTGCTGAGAATCCAAGCGTAACGCTTTAGACCTCGGGTGTCTCGTCAACGAATCTCGGCGTGGCGCGTTCAAGCGCAACCCAGGAGCTGCACAGGCACGTCACGAACACCACGAAGAGGCCTCACCCGCCACCTCCACGCCGACCCCCCCACCACAGCGCCACTCATCCCTCCCCCCCCCCACCCCCCCCCCTTTCCTCTGCACCCCCCCCCCCCCCCTAATCACGCCGCAGGTTGTTGAGTCGCTCTTCCAGGTCGGCGTCGGCATCGGCGACAGCGGCGGCGGCGGCCTCGGCCTTCTTGCCTGCGGCCACGCTGAGCGAGCCGCCTGTGGCCGGCAGAGCTGCGGCGGGGGGTGGGGAGGGGAGACACACGGAGAACACCGACACTCACAAAAAGACAAAGATCCCCCGTGTAGCCTTAACAAACTGGAGGGGCAAGTGCTGTCAGCGAGCACCTACGAAGGCCGGCACGGCACACGAGGAGGTGGGTGGCCAGCACCACGCCCGGCCGCATTGTGTCTTCCCAGTGGCGATGTTTACGCACCGCACCAGGTACTCATTTGAGGCTGAGTCGACCTAGGGGAGGCCCAGGACCGGTTCAGATCATCGTCACCGGCGTTGGCCGTGAGCGGGAGTCGAACCCGGGTCGCCGGGTTCGTGGAGCAGCGCAGCGCGCTAACCACTACACTACTGCTCACACAGAACACCACCAGTCACGCACGCACAGATGGGACTAACACACACACACAGCTGGGAACACCAGTCAGGCACCCACAGACAGTGTGGTGTGCTCAGACTGATTGGCGCGCAGGTGCATGCGGGGGTCATTTACACACGGACAACGCTGAGGGGTTGGCGGCAGCCGATATAATGATTGGTAATTGATTTTTGGGTTAGGTCGCATAATGGTCCGAGAAAAAAAATCTATTATGAATGTGTGTGTATGTGTGTGAGTGAGTGTATGTGTGTGTGTTGTCATCTCAGTCAGGCAACCCTTGGCACCTGGGTCTGTCCGGTGATCTCCTGCCAGCAGCGGGCGTTCGACACTTCCCGTGGTGGTCTCAACGTGCACATAGCCTGGCACAAGCGCCGTGGTGACGTCACCGCCACTTAGTGGCGAATGGCGGGTTGCTGTTGTCGATCGCTTGTGTTGTGCTGTGTATTTATACATGTCGAACTAGGATCCATATCTAACAGAGAGGAGCCTTGCCTACAAATGTCTGGCAGCTCACCAGTAATGATCTGAACCGGTCCTGGGCCTCCACTAAGTTGAGTCGGCCTCAAATGGGTAACTCCCAACCTAGGCCTCGGCAAGGCAAGGTAAAAGTGTAAAAACAACGAGCCTACCTTTACCCTACCTTTTACCTTACCCCTTGGCATGTCGACGCCTTTACCCTTTGACCCGGTAAAAAGGGTACAATTACCTTACCTTGAAGAGGCCTATCCCCACCCACTCATCAACCCCCCCCCCCCCAATCACCAATCCCCCCCCCCACCCTCCCCCCAACCCATTCACCCACCGACCCACTCGCTCACCCCCCCCACCTATGTGTTGTGTTATTTCTACCACGCGCATTTACTGTTTGAATTCTCCCCATGGGTTTCACACATCTTTTGCACAACAGAGCGCCGGGTTTGATCTGAAGAGATGCGGGCGGGGGGCCAGGGAGAGTTTGGGGGGTGGGGGTGGCAAGGGGCGGGGTGGGGGCTGGGGGGCTTTGTGTACGTTGTGCCAGCGGGCACGCGCAGGGAGGGTTAATGTTCCAGGCAGAGGCCCTTTAACGGAGCAGCGAGCGAGAGAGTGTGAAAGAGGGAGGATGACAGGTCAAGCGTAAAACACAGAGTTTTTTCTGTGGTTGAACATCAAACACGGTCCTTGCACACGGGCACGGGTATTTCTGTGTGTGCCTAAACTGCCCGTGCCTGTGTGTGTGTTGAGAGAGGGTGTGTGTGTGTGCGTGCATATGTGCATGTTGAACGTGTGTTGAGTGTGCGCTCGCGTGTGTGCGTGCCCGCGCGCGAGTCTTCCTGCAGCTGCGCTACAAACCCCGGCGACCAGAGTTCGATTCCCGCTCACGGCCAACACCAGTAACAATTATCTGAACCGGTCCTGGGCCTCCCCTACATCGAATTGGCCTTAAAAATAAGTATCTGGCACGATGTGTAAACATTGCCACTGGGAAGACAAAGGCGGTCGGGCATGGTGCTGGCCACCCACCCCCTCTTGTGTGTCATAGGTGCTCGCGAACAGCACTTGCCCCAACAGTCTGTTAAAGGCTATTAGGGGGATCTTCGTCTTTTTGAGTCTTACTGCCGCATGTGTGTGCGTGCGCGTGTGTGCGAGCCTTACTGTCATGTGTGTGTGTGTGTGCGCGTGTGTGCAAGTCTGTCGCGTGTGTGTGTGCGCGTGCGAGTCTTACTGCCGTGTGTGTGTGTGTGCGCGTGTGTGCAAGTCTGTCGCGTGTGTGTGTGTGCGAGTCTTACTGTCGCGTGTGTGTGCGTGTGTGCGAGTCTTACTGCCGCGTGTGTGTGCATGCGCGTGTGTGCGAGTTTTACTGCCGAGTGTGTGCGTGTGTGCGTGTGCGCATGTGCGCCTCAACAACTCCACCGCATGTCTCTCACCGGTCTAATCGTCCACCCCCCCTCCCACTCCCCACCACTGCCCCCACCCCACCACTGCCCCCCACCAATGCCGCTCCCCCTCTCCCCCACTTGTGTTTTTATTGCGCGCTGGCAAGCGACGAGCTGGCACGCGACGCGCTGGCATTTAAACCAACGCCACCGTTGCACTTCCGGCAATGTGTGAGAATGTGATGTGCCATGTGCAGCACTGTCATAATGATAATGATGTCAAAGGGCGGGCGGGCGGGTGGGGGGTTGTTTTCCCATACTTCATCAGTGCAGGCCGTTGAAGACGTGGGGGGGGGGGCAAGGAGGGAAGTCAGAGGAGAGGTGCACGGGGAGGGGAAGGACCGACTCGGATATCGCTCGCCACCGATGTTAGCCACGCCCGGGAATCGAATTCAGGTCCTTAGCGCAGCGCGCCAATCCGCCCCGATCCGAACACCAGGTTTAGAAATCGGCCACACATTGGAAATCTCCGAGGAATCTCCCACAGAACCGCCACGTGCAGCAACTACGCCGAGCTACGTGTCGGTAGCGCAGGGCGCTTAGCGGTGCGCCGCTGCTACCGGCACCACTGGCAGCGCACGCCGGCGACCCCGCGCCGTGGAGGGAGCAGCGAGGGCTGGTGGGGGATCATCCAGCTGCACCCTTGCTAGCCAGGAGAAAGCGGTACAGGCAAGTGCGGACTAAGCGCCACCCATTCCATCTGCATGGGATAGAGTGCTGCCCCCTCGCACGCGTTGGGCATTCTCTGGGCGATTCAGTTTCCTCCTACGTGTATTAACACTCGTTAATTTACTGAAATTAGCTTAATATATAGAGGGCTGCAGAGCTCAGGCAATTGTTAATAGCACCGCCCTGGCTGCTGCTACCTCCCCCCGCTACTCGTCTGCGCTTCCAAGTCGCGCTCCCTCTCCGTTCGACGGCGATGAGCGAATACCGGTGGGGAGGAGGGCAACGGCAGTGGCACAGCGGCACAAGTTTAAATTACAAATAACAACAATAACAATCATAAGAGACCCAAGAAAAGCCAGAACAGCTCCCATGCTGTAAACACGCGTCGAGGCTTTCCGCGACATCGTCAGCCCGACACGCGCGAGTCGTGCCGCGTCTACGAGCAAGCACTTGCCGTGTACGCACCGCGCCAAACCCCATCAAACGACGTAATTGTCTCCGCTTTTCTGATCCAATTACTCGCCGTTCTTTCCGCTCCGCGCAGCTCTCCGCGGGAGGGATTCAGAGTGAGCGGTCGGAGCGCGGCTCGGGGTCCCGGCGGTCGTGCACTCGCTGCAGAGGTTCGTATCTAGTGGGGCCACCCTAGTTATTACTGCGGTGTGTGTTATCACTCGGTGGGTGGGTGGCTGGGTGGGTGGGTGGATGGATGGGTGGGTGGATGGGCGGGTGGTTAAGTGGCCGGGTGGGTGGCTGCGTGGGTGGGTGTCTGGGCGGGTGGCTGGGTGAGTCGCGAAATGAAACGACTCACTCGAGAGTTCGTCCGTGAGGCCGAGTCCCAGCTCGTCCAACACCTGGCTCACGATGGCATCACTGCACGCACACGTGCACACGCACACACACACACACGCACGCACACACGCACGCACACATGCACGCACACACACACACACGAAGCCAACGGTCAAACATCGCTCGCCCCCCTCCCCACCACCACCTGTGTAGCATTCACCAGCCTGCTGGGGCAAGTGCTATTGGCGAGTAACACCGATGAAAGTGCCTATGATGGGGTGGGTGGCCAGCACTACCCTCGGCCACCTTTGCCTTCCCAGCGGCCATGTTTTTGTGACACACCGCATCGCGTAATCATTTAAGGCTGAGTCGATCTAGCGGAGGTCCAGGATTGCTTCTAATATCCACCACTGTTAAAGGTCGCATGCAGGAATTGAATTCGGGCCTCCGGGTTCGTAGCGCAGTACGCTAACCACGACATTACACTGCTCCCCACAGCGCTGCACGGACACGCACACAGACACGCGCGGAGACAGACACAACAACAGCCGTCACCGCCGCCGTTCACCACGAGTGAGTGACGTCACCACGGCGATTGTGCTGGGCTAGGCGCACACGTTGAGACACACAAAGACACGCACACACACGTACACAAGCCACGCAAAGAAACAGAGACGCAAACAAGATGAGACACACACAGAGACAAAAGCATGGAGAGAATGCTTAAAAATCCACAATGCTTATGACGCACGTGCATGAATCCACAATGCCGCGAATTACTCCAGAACGTTTTGGTTAATCCGTACTTCAATCTTTATTTGAAGCTTTTGTGACTGCAGGAATCCATACCCTTTGGTACTTTCGGTAAAGTCATGTGGGTAGAAAAATAATAAAATAAATAAAAAATGTAAGAAAATACAATTATTCTTTCTTTTATTTTATTATTCTAAGAACCAAAGAGTAATCCATACTTAGCGATGGTAATCCATCCAAAATAATTGAGCCCTTATGTATTTCCACGAGCCTATAGCCCCCGTGTGTATCGCAGTTAATCAGAAATATTCAATCGAAAATAATGACCCACTCATGATCATTAATGAAGGGGTGGGGGCGGGGTCCACATGAGTGACGTCATCAGCTCATGATTATTGATGAGGGGGGGGGTCGCATGTGGAGTGACGTCATCCGATTATTAATGAGGGGGGGTGCCCCATGTGGAGTGACGTCACCCGCTAATGATTATTAATGAGGGGGGGGGTGCCTCACGTCATCCACTCATGATTATTAATGAGGGGGGGGGGTGCCTCACGTCATCCACTCATGATTATTAATGGGGGGGGGGGTGCCTCACGTCATCCACTCATGATTATTAATGAGGGGGGGGGTGCCTCACGTCATCCACTCATGATTATTAATGGGGGGGGGGGTGCCTCACGTCATCCACTCATGATTATTGAGGGGGGGTGCCTCACGTCATCCACTCATGATTATTAATGAGGGGGGGGGGGTCGCATGTGGAGTGACATCACGCGCGGGACACACACACACACAGCTTTTTTGGCTTGTTATATTAGTTGCCGCGTTGATTTCTATATTAGCTTTACTTTCCATAAAGGTCCAAATGAAAGCTAATTTGCGTACACAAATTTTCGTTTCCGCTCCACGTTCTTCATGCGGAATGACGTCACCCGTTCATGATTATTAATGACGGGGGGGGGGTCCATATGGAGGACCCCACCATTCAGACGGTCTCCCCGACAGACCTGGTCTTCACCTAAGGATGGCTGCTTGCGTTGTGGCCGAAACGTTGTGAGAATTATTTTATTATGTTTTATTTTTTTTATTTTATTACTTCCCTTCTACGTGACTTTACCGAAAGAACCAAGAAGAAGGACCCCACCTGTTCATGATTATTAATGACGGGGGGCTGGTCGACGTGGAGTGACGTCACGCACGTGAAACACTCACATTCTTAGCTCACGATATTAGGGATAATCCAGGTTGTTACCCTATAGGACAATAGGATCGCGAGAGGTGACGGTGGCTTGGGGACAAGGCCTTGATCCAGCAGGGGACTGACCACGGCTGATTGAAGACGACGATGACGACGATCTATCAGATCGTGACAAATGACAATCGCGGTGGGCGCTTCCCCAACGCGGCGCACGCGACCCCCCCCCCCCCTCACCTCTCCTCCTCGTCGTCCTCATCGCCCATGGCGTCGTCGATGGCGTCGTTCATCATCTCCTCCTTCATGTCCATGATCTCCGACTGCTTCTCAAACTCCATCATGATCTTCTGGATCTGCGGCAGCTTGAGCTGGGTGTGCGACACGCGTGCCGACGGAGCGGAGTCATCGGTCACGAGCCGCGATGGGATCGCGAGGTGCAGACACGAAAGCGGTAGAACCCCCTTCTTAACGACCACCCCCCGTTAACCAGAGGTGTGGACTCGAGTCATGTGACTTGGACTCGAGTCAGACTCGAGTCATGAATTTGATGACTTCAGACTCGACTTGGACTTGCATAACAATGACTTTGTCCCACCTCTGAGGTGTGGACTCGAGTCATGTGACTTGGACTCGAGTCAGACTCGAGTCATGAATTTGATGACTTCAGACTCGACTTGGACTTGCATAACAATGACTTTGTCCCACCTCTGCCGTTAACTATGGGCCTCCATAGAGACGCAGGCATAGAGTCGGAATTTCGTCTTTAACGCATTTATTCGTTTGCTTCATTGCACAGTTATTTCGTGTCATTCTGGTGACCCGGGTCACTCGCACAAAATTCTTGTTTGGTAAAACAAAAACAAAAACTTGAAACTATAAACCCGCCGATTCGTTCATCGATTAAGCGCGATTCAAGTGCTCGCGAGACACGGCGCGTGCGAGGCAGCGGGGGCCCAGGGCACCTACTTGCTTGTTCATGGTGGCCATGGCCTTCGTGACGCCCTTCATGGCCTGGGCCATCGCGTTGTTGGACTTGAGCGTCTGGATCTTGAGGGACACGGCCTGGATGTTGGCTCGCATCATGATGAACTTCTTGACGTAGCGCCGCGTGCGGACCAGGTCCTTGGCCATGATCTTGACGGCATCCTGCCGGGGGCGATGGGGTCAGGGCGATGGGGTCGGGGCGATGGGGTCGGGGCGATGGGGTCGGGGCGATGGGGTCGGGGCGATGGGGTCGGGGCGATGGGGTCGGGGCGATGGGGTCGGGCGATGGGGTCGGGGCGATGGGGTCGGGGCGATGGGGTCGGGCGATGGGGTCGGGGCGATGGGGTCAGGGGCGATGGGGTCAGGGCGATGGGGTCAGGGCGATGGGGTCAGGTCAGGGCGATGGGGTCAGGGCGATGGGGGTCAGGGCGATGGGGTCAGGGCGATGGGGTCAGGGCGATGGGGTCAGGGCGATGGGGTCAGGGCGATGGGGTCAGGGCGATGGGGTCAGGGCGATGGGGTCAGGGCGATGGGGTCAGGGCGATGGGGTCAGGGCGATGGGAAACGCGACAAGGGAGATGGACACGGGGGACAGAGACGCACAGAGGGCGAAAGACACGGGCAGGAATAACGAGACACGTAGAAACAGCGAGACAGAGAGAGATCCACACACGAAGAAAGTAAGACACAGAGACCAAGACACAGAGCCACAAATAGAGAGGCAGAGATGAGAGACAAATACAAAAACAGAAAGATCCACACATGAAGGGCGTAAGACACACAGAGACAGAGCTGAGACAAAAATAGAGACACAGAGAGAGATATGGAGAAATAGAGGCACGTACACAGAGAGAGAGTGTGTCTGTCACATGGAGATCGGCACGTTCAATTCTCAAACTCAAAGTTGCCGACCCTTATCCTCCTCCACCCTGCACACGTGTCCCACCCATCACAACCTCCCAGCGTTTTCCTCCCACGTCCCATTCCCAACCGCCACCAAACGATTTCCATGCGCCCTCACCATCTGGCCGGCTTTGGCCATCTTCTTGATGTCAGCGATGATCTTCTTCTCCTGCATCTCCAGCTTCTGTCTCTCGCGGTCCATGTCCCTCATGGCGCGCGTGAGGGCTCGCTGGTTCTGCCGCAGCATCTGCTCCGGGGTCTTTCTCTTTCCAAACAGGCGGTCCATGGCTGCGTCTCTGCAGAAACACCGACGACGACGAGAACACCACCCAGCATCCACGGTAAGTCGGCAGGCAGCTCACGCGTGGTGGGGTTAATTGTGGGTACGCTACCCCCCACTTCTGACTAAAATTCCACTGGAAATTATTTATCGGTTCGTGATTTCGCGGAAACCGGTAATCGGTTCCCCAACCGGTTTCCTCGGTCACACGTGCCGAGCAGGTTTTCCCTGGCTGTGCCGTAGGGTGCTCCGATGTGTCTTTGGGGGTTTAAAAAATAAAACAAAAATAAATGAGTGGGGATGGAAAGGGGGGCAGGGACGAGCAGTCTATGGAGTCAGGCCCCTTCATAGTGCTGCTGCCCCCCCCCCATCGCCTCCCCACACACATCCTGCCCTGTCAACAAAAGAAGAGCAGTCCACTCTTAAAGACAAGGCCACTTGATCGTAACGTCCAAAGTCGACAGATGAACTCAGATTAAAGCCCACAGGGAAACATTCAAGCTGGCGCGCGTGCACGCCGCAGATACAAGTGAGGTTGGCCTGCTCTGTTTAACCAAGCGAGAACTCCAAGAGAGCGTCCAGACGTGTGTTCATCACGCTGCCATTGGCAAACAAAAAAAAACATCGCCAGCTTTGTGGACCATTCCCCTCTTAGCACCGCGGCGCGCGCGTCTGTGCACTGCGGCCACCGCAACATGACAAGCCACGTGAACTTTATGACGCATTCCAAAATAATTTCACCCCCCACCCCCCTCCCCCCGTCACTGAAAGAATAAAACCGAATGCGGAATGGGAGAGCGCCACAACGAGCACGCAGGGCAAACCGCGTGACGGGGCAAGAGAATCTTCTTGGTTCTTTCGGTAAAGTCACGTAGAAGGGAAATAATAAAAATAAAACATTCTAAAATACAATTCTCACGACGTTTCGGCCACAACGCAAGCAGCCGTCCCTCAGGTGAAGAACAGGTCTGTCGGAAAGACAGCGTCTGAATGAGCACCACCAAGCTTGGCAGCGTATATTTAAGCTGGGTTAGGGGAGGAAGAGCGCCTTGACAAAGAGCGATTCACACACACACACGAAGCAACATCATCGACCGCAAGCAAGCCCTCTCGTGTTCACGTGAGCTGGGAGTCGCGACTCGGTCGAACCACACTTTTGAAAACGTTCAATACGCAAAGCGTCAACGGACTCCGCATTCCTCGACGCAGACCTGGGAGTTGAACTCTTTTTTTTTACACGCTTTCATTTAACTCACTCTGTTTGTTGTTGTAGTTGTCGTTGTTGTTGTCGTTGTTGTCGTTGTTGTCGTTGTTGTCGTTGTTGTCATATCCTCAAATCTTATAACTCAATTTGTACCCACTTCCCAATGTGGTATCGACTGCAAACTTGGTATACTTACGTAATACTGATGACAATACTATACTCTATCATAAAAAATAAATATTTTTTTACATTCCTTTTTACATGTTATGTTTCGGCTTGGGTCTAATTGTCCACGCTCAACTGACGCTGGCTGTAATTGGCCACGGCCCTTTACGTTATGCCAAGCTTCGGGGCCACGTCCTGGAGTTGTAGAGTTATTCCATTACTAGCACATCTCATAAAAGCGTGTTTTTTTTAAAAGTCATTTTCAAATATTACTTATTAGGCGCTAGAATAGCCGCGGACACAGCAAAAAGCCTGTCGCACAGATCGTCGTCGGCAGGGCTGTCGGAACGACGCGATCTGCATCGGCAGGTGACGCTGAATGGCTGTCGCTGCGTTGTTTGTCATCGCGACTGCCCTGCCGGTCAGTCAGCCGGGGGGGGGGGTCGGTCACGTTACCCACCGCGCCTCCGATTGGGGAAACACGTCCGGTGGGTGACGTCGACCGTAACGTTGTGGCGACGTTGGGTGCTCACTCGCCATATGGCGCAAGAGTTTGTGTATTGAGTCATGCTTTTGCAATGATGACACCACCACCCAGGCTATTTATAGAAGCGATGGAGTTTATAAATAAATAAATACTTACATCTCCCAAGTTTTTTTGGGGTCGTACAGCGCGGATATTGCCGAGGAACAAATACTAGAACAGTGTGGAAGAGGAGGCCAAATACCCTCATACCTGTCAACCCCTTATCAGTGCCGCCTACCTTATTAGATCAATTTAGACCGTATTGGTGCACTTGCAAATCTCAGCGTTCATCCTACAAAGTCCCATCGCAAGTATAGAAACACAAATAGACACACAATATTATTTATTTGCCCGTATTGAAACGGCTGTACGCCGTTATGGACCTGAAATACGACATTTTTCTGCACGAGAATACGTGTGGTAACCTGTATGGGTTGACAAGCATGCACTGCCCCAGTGTTTCTGTATCTCACCGCCAGTGTCTCACTACCCAAGTGTCTCTGTACCGGTGTTTCACTACCACACCATTAAATTTCGATTTAAAGCTTTCGTGACTGCAGGGATTCATCTTCTTGGTTCTTTCGGTAAAGTCACGTAGAAGGGAAATAATAAAAGAATAAAAATAAAACGTAATAAAATACAATACCATACCCTTGTTAGTGCCCCATACCTTATTACAGACCAACTCAGACCTTATTGATCACCCCCTGCCCCCTTACGAATCTCAATGTCCATCCGGCAAAGTCCCATCACGAGTAGAGAGACACAATTAGAGACAATTGTTGTTGTTGTTGCTGCCCGCATTGACACGGCTCTACGCCGTATGGACAACGACAACTCAATGTCTCTGTGCAAGAGCACGTGGGTTGTCAACCCGTAAAGGGTTCATCAGCTGTGAAACACTCCAGGGCCCCGCTGCGCTAACCGCTGCGCCACCGCTCCCCCCACACTTCCCAAGTCGCCACTAAGTGGCGGTGACGTCACAAAGGCCCTCGTGCCATGCTAGGTGCACCAGCACCATCACCCCACCACCCCAGGTAACAGTTACCATGGAGATAGAGCACGAGCGAGGGCGTCTTACGGGCGGTGGCGATCGACCATGCACACAGCAACAACAACAGCAACAACAATAACAACAGCAACAACAACAGCAGCAACAACAACAGCAGCAACAACAGCAACAACAACAACAACAGCAACAACAGCAACAACAGCAACAACAACAGCAACAACAGCAACAACAACAGCAGCAACAACAGCAACAACAACAGCAACAACAACAGCAACAACAGCAACAACAGCAGCAACAACAACACCAACAACAGCAGCAACAACAGCAGCAACAACAACAGCAGCAACAACAGCAGCAACAACAGCAGCAACATCAGCAACAACAAAACAACAACAGCAACAACAGCCGCCGCCATTCGCCACTAAGCGGCGGTGACGTCACCACGGCGCCTGTGTGCCAGGCTAGGTGCACTTGCGACGCCAAATAAACGTGGACCCCCCCCCCCCCTGGTGGGGGGCCTTACGTCGGGGTCCGTACGGGGGGGCGGACGGGCGAGCGAGCGACCCACTGAGACCCGCGCCACGCTCGCGGGGAGAGGGGAGGGGGGGTGCAGGCGTCGTCCCTTCGCCCATCGCAAACACCTCGGCCACGACGAGGAAGACGACGACGACGAACGACGGCAGCAGCAGCCCCCTCTACAGACGGGCTGCTGCGTCCATCGAAAGGTTGGGGGGTGGGAGAGGGGCGCGCACACACGCACCTCAAAAGCTGTCCGCTCGCCTCGCGATAACTTCCACAGCAGCGGCGAGGTACGTGGGACGGCGACGGGAACGCGACAGCGGCAACGCGGAGAGGCCACGGGACACGTCCAGGAGGTGCGCGGTGAGGCGGCGAGCGGGAGAGATGCGCGTCAAAGGCCTCCACGAGCACCACCAGCACCACAGCCTCGTCGTCTGCTTCTTCTTCTTCCGGGTTTACGTCGCGAGGGGCGTGGCGAGGCGTGACGTCACCAAGGCGCGTCACGAGGCGCGGCCGCGTGACCGACGCGGGAGGGGGGTAGGTAGGGGGGGGGTGAGGGGTGGGGGTTGCGAAGGGGGGAGGGGGAGGGAAGGGGGGCGCGGGGGGTGGGGGCTGCGGGGGAAGGAGTGGGTAGGGGGGGTAAGGTGGGTGGGGGGAGGAGGGGGTAAGGGGGGTGAGGGAAGGGGTGGGGGGAGGAGGGGGTAAGGGGGGTGGGGGGAGGAGGGGATAAGGGGGTGGGGGGAGGAGAGGGTAAGGGGGGTGAGGGAAGGGGGTGGGGGGAGGAGGGGGTATGGGGGGCACGGGGGGTGGGGGTTATGGGGAGGGGAGGGGAGGGGGTAGGGGGCGATCAGGGGGTTGCGGGGAGGAGGAGGTAGGGGTGCGCGGGGGGAGGAGGGGGGTATGGGGGGCACGAGGGGTGGGGGCTGCAGGGGGAGGGGAGGGGGTGGGGGTTAAAGAGGCATCTCGTGTAGCCACAGTGAGACCTCGGCAGCAGGAGGCCACCACCAGCGTCGTCTAATTAACGAGCGAGGCGTTTGTCAATGACCAAGGGGCAGTGTCTGTAGATGTCTGCAGATATTAATAAAACCTCTCACACGACGCGGTCGCGTTGTTATTATGAAAGACAAGGTTTTGCTGGCTGGAAGCCATGCGCCGCCCAGCGTGCAGAGGGTGAGGGGGCGGTGGGGGTGGCGTGTTGAGAGGGGGAGGGGGGCACGCCATAGCCCAGAGGAAGGGGGCCCGGGTCATCTGTGAAGAAGAGCTTTATTGCTCATCGGATTCCTCCAGTATAAAACACATTGTCCTGCGGAGGGAGCTGGTAGGAACGTTGGGTTGCTCGGTCAATGGCCTGCAGGGTCAACGGCGGCGTGGTGTACTCCGCAAATATGGACGACTGTGAGGGCGGGCACAAGCCGGCGTGAATAGGTGAAACGTTGAGTTTTATAAGGGTACCACGGGGTGACCAGCCCCTCCCCATCCAGCCCCACCCCCCATTTTTTACCTACGTGACTTTACCGAAAGAACTAAGAGTACGTCAAATTACAATTAAAGTTGCATTAAAACGAACAGGTATCGGGTGTAGCTATTTGGGGTCACGGTGGGGGGTTGACCTTGCTCAGTCTGCGCCGTCTCAAATATTGGAGGAAGCAGCAACTCCGCCTGTGAGCGGCTGGCTACTGAGGAACGAGGCGAGAAAAAGTTCCGGGCAGAGATGACAGCCCAAGCTGCTGCTTAGGGGAGGGTGGCGACGTCTTTACAACTCGCTGGACCACACACACAGCGATGGCTTCCGTAGGACTGGAGGCATGCCCTGGTGGTCCCCTTTTTGCACGCTTTCATTTAACTCACTCTGTTGTTGTCGTTGTCGTATCCTCAAATCTTGTAACTCAATTTTAACCCACTTCCCAATGTGGTATCGACTGCAAACTTGGTATACTTATGTCATACTGATGACAATACTATATTCTATCATAGCAAATAAAAAATATATAATAATAAAATTCTGTGACGTTTCGGCTTGGGTCTAATTGTCCACGGTCAACTGACGTTGGCTGTAATCGGCCACGGTCCCTTACGTTATGGCAAGCTTCGGGGCCACTTCCTGGAGTCGTGGAGTTCTTCCATTACTAGTACATTTCATAATAGCGTGCTTAAAAAATATATATTATATTTATTTATGAGGAGTACCGCACTGATTGTAACAGTTACAGAGACACCTCTACTTACATTCTACTTACGAACTTTCAGAGATACGAACAAACCTGTCCGTATGTCCAGTCGCCTGTTCGGAACGAGAGTTGTAAGTTCAACCGCCGCGCAATAAATGGCGGTGGTGGCATCTGCATCTGCAGAACGTGAATAACCAGTGGCATCTACATCTGCAGAACGTGAAGAACCAGTGGCATCTACATCTACAGAACGTGAATAACCAGTATGCATCTACATCTGCAGAACGTGAAGAACCAGTGGCATCTACATCTACAGAACGTGAATAACCAGTATGCATCTACATCTGCAGGAGATTATACAACTCTTAAAGCCATTCCCCGTGTTTAGTGTACACGCCGTACACCATGTTTGCAATCGACAGGAGTAAAGTTGGACTTGCGAACGCATCGAGTTACGAACAGACCTCTGGAACCGAACTCGTTCGTAAGTAGAGGCGTGCCTGTATAGGGCCATCTCTACAACGACTCAGTGTGGCAAAAAAATAAATTTCTGGCAAAATGTATTCAACATCGCCGTGCCAGGCACGCTTAACGGTGGTTGCTATAAAAAAAAAACTGCTTTACGAACACGGTGACCCGAGTTCGATTCCGAACTCGGCAAGCCGAGGTCCATTCTGGATCACGGCCAACACCAATTACGATTATCTAAATCGGTCCTGCGCCTCCCCTAGGTCCACTCAGCCGCAAATGAGTACCTCGTGCGATGTGCAAACATCACCACTAGGGCGTGGTGCTGGCCACCCACCCCTCGTGTGCCGTTCTGGCCTTCATATGAGCTCGCTAACAGCACTTGGCCCAACAGTCTGTGAAGGCTATAAGGCGGATTTTTGTCTTTTTTGGAGCGGTGGTGCAGTGGTTAGCACACTGTGTTATGAGCCGTGGCGTTGTGGGATGTAATTAGCATGAATGACGCTATCTACAATGACGTTGTTATTATTATATGGCAGCAGAGGAGACGGAGCAACTTCTCACTGCGATGTATTTAACAAAACACTGCAGTTGCGTGACCCGTACGAATCAACGCACCTCCGATTAGCACGGTTCGGCTACGTGCAACATACACCGTAGGATGATTTTTTTTCTTCCCCCTTTAATCTTACACCTGGCTTTTTGTGCACCGGGCATATAAGGTACTCATAAATAATGAACGAGTTATTTCAGTAATTCATTAAACATATCATTCCCAAAACAGTGGGTTCATTGCAGGTTGCCGTGGCTTGTGCCGGGCCAGATTCCAATTGTGGTTTTCTCTATTATTAATAACATCACGCAACGACTTAAATTAATTACATTGGCCTCATACACGCCATGATTTATGGCCAATGCGGTTAAGGGTTTGAGGGCCGCAATAATGGACGGGATTTGTATTGGATGTGATGCACGTGGCGCGCGTGTTTACTTCTGGAAATGCGAGAAACAGTGGCACGGTGGTTGCCACCACTGCCCTTCGAACCCGGCAACCCGAGTTCGGTTCCCGCTCAGGGTCAACATCCGTGACTGAACATCTCAACCTGGCCTCCTCTGGATCGACTGAGCTTCTTGGTTCTTTCGGTAAAGTCACGTTAGAAGGAAAGTAATAAAATAATAAAAAATAAAACATAATAAAATAATTCTCACGACGTTTCGGCCACAACGCAAGCAGCCGTCCTCAGGTGAAGACCAGGTCTGTCGGGGAGACAGCGTCTGAAACGTCGTGAGAATTATTTTATAATGTTTTATTTTTATTATTTTATTACTTCCCTTCTACGTGACTTTACCGAAAGAACCAAGAAGATGAATCCCTGTAGTCACGAAAGCTTTAAATCGAAATTTATTTTATTATGTTTTATTTTTATTATTTTTTACTTCCCTTCTACGTGACTTTACCGAAAGAACCAAGAAGATGAATCCCTGCAGTCACGAAAGCTTTAAATCGAAAAATCGACTGAGCTGTTCGCAGAGCGCCGACTGTTGCGGTGTGTAAACAGCAGCGTTAGGGAGACAAAGGCGGCCGGGCGTGGTGGTGGCCCACCCACCCCCTTGAGTCTGTGAAATACCGTTCAGCAAATCTTTGTCTTTGTTGCTGGAAACATCTTGATAATCTAAGAGATAACGATGAGCGGTGGTGCAGTGAAGAATCCACGTGACCACGGGGAGAGAGACACGCAAACTCCAAATATGCTGACGTCGGCGACGGGATCGAACCTACGACCTCCTGTATACCAGGCGAGGGAGTTAACATCTCACCTCCGCGACGTCCTCTCATCGCGTCCCAGCAGCAGACCTCGACATTGGCATCTAGCTCATGAGCATATCTGCCAACGCAGAAGTATCGCCAATATCACGCGTCTCTGTCTTGTGGTTGTTGTTGTTTGACTTGCATCCCACTGGGATTTTTGCACACAGCGTTGGTGTACGGTGCTTTTTCTGCAATATTTTGCTGTCTTTTCTTGGATTTTCTGTTTGCACATAGTCACTTTAAGATGTTTTCTTGTTCATGTTTTTGTTTTTTGTTTGTTGCGGTTGCACCCGATTCAAGAGCCGAATGGCTCACAGGGCTATACCTAATAAATGAAACTTGAAAACTTGAAATACAAAGCGAGGTTGCCTCCACTTATTGCACTGGCTTGGGCTGGTTGATTTCGATCGATCAGGTGATTGGTTCGATTTTCCGCCGCTTTTAAGTGTCACCATCTTGCCAAGTGGAACCATAAAACACCCCCAAGTACTTCCACGGACAGCGTCAATGGGCGCTCCGTGAGTTACGGTGGCAGGCGCGTCATCTTTCATCTCGCTCGCGGTGCATCGGGGCGGCGGCGGCGGGGTGAGAGCCTCCCTTACGAGATATTTATATGGTTACTTTCTTGATGGCAAGAGGTATTTCTAAAGGTATTAAATACGCTCCGGCCACGAAGTTATTCTTACTACGCTTGCTTACCCCCTGCATGAGAGAAACATCACGGAGTCTACGGACCTCATTTATCAGGAGGGTCCTGCCAGTTTGTATTTTTCTCACAGCAGAGGGCGAGGTTGCTAGTCGTCATCCCGATTGAGTCATTTACAGCGGTAATCTCTGGTGCTTTCGGTAAAGTCACGTAGATATAAATAAAATAATGAAATAAAATAAAACACGACGTTTCGGGTCGCGACACAAGCGTTTGTCTTCAGGTGAGAAAAAGACGGACGCTTTTGTTGCGACCGAAACGTCTTGTTTTATTTTATTATTATTATTATTATTTTCTACCCACGTGACTTTACTGAAGGA